TCTTTTTTTTTTTGGAGAGGTTTTTGCTCTAGGGTATGTGTGCTCACCAGAAAGAGAGACAGAGAGATAGAAAGCAAAATATCACCCCCTGGTGGGGATGGTCACACCGCAATCCCTTCTCCATTCTCCTCTCGGGATCTTGGGCACGCACGCACACACACCCAGTTCATGAGATTAAGCCACCGGGTCCAGGACTCAAACCATGGTAGGCTACATGGGGTTCAGCGACATAGCCATTCCACTAACTGCTGGTCCCCTAACTGTTCTTGATGTGGTAACAATTAATGTATTAAATCTTGACTCTTAGACACACCTTCTTATATACACATGAAGTACTTCTGCTGTACACCACAGGATGGTATTTTTACTTAAAATAATCACTGACAGAAAACCTGCAGTCACTCTTGGGTACTGGCAGGCATTTTTTTTTTTTTTTTTTTAGTGGTTTTTGTCATAGGGCACTTGTGCTGGCCAGAGGTAGAGACAGAGACACCAAGTCTCAAGCCTAGACACAAATTTCACTTAGCTTTATATACACTTTATCCACATAGCCTAAAGGAAATTTTACACAATATTTTTATATTATAGCACTTTGACTGCAATGCATCACCTGAAGTCAGGTGTGGAATTTTCACTTGGGGTGTCATATTGGTGCTCAAAAAGTTTTGAATTTTGGAGCATTCTGAGGTCAACACTTCTCACTATTCTAGTCAATGTTTGCTAGTTACTTTCATTTGTTTTCCAAATCCCAAAAAGAAAGTATGCCACACAGAACCCCAGTGCCAAGCTGCCACGGTTCATGTTAATCTAATTCTTTCTAAAGCAAGATGTCTCATTACAAATAATCAATCCACATTTTGGTACATATCCAGGTTATATCAAACTAAACGGGATCTTCAATGGTCCAGTGCTTCCAAGATCTGATGGCCTCCACTGGACTAAACTACAACACCACACTCTTCAATGTCAACCTGGTTGTTACAGAAAATTGGGATTTCTTGCATTGATGTAAAACAAGATAATCGTTTGTAATACTCAACTAAACACGATGATTCATCAAGGACATTTAGTTCAGTAAGATTTTATTTAAAAATTTGCAAAGCTAAAGGAGGGATCTGATCTTTTCTTTAAAGAAAGCAATTTTCACAGTATATATTTAGCCATTTTAGCTTTGCATTCGATAATGACAGAAAAGGATGCTTCCGGTCAAGATCCTCACTCCAGCACACTTCTCCTTGGAGGGCACATATGCCTTAAGGCAAAAACGTTCTGGGAAAGGCAAAGTTATGGAGATCAGTTGTCAGGAGTTGTGGGGGAAGAGGCATACATAGGCAGAAAGCATAGAGGATATTCAGGGCATAGCATCCATGCGGTACACCTTTACCCTAATCCTGGATTGGGAACTCCTTTTTAAAATACAAATAGAAGACCAGCAGGTGGCATATTGGTTACTAGGACTCCCATGTACTTGACCTTGGTTGAGTTCTGGACCCAGGGGCTTGACACTCACACTGGAGGGGTGTGTGTGTGCGCATGCGCAAGATCCCAAGAGGAGAATGGAGGAGAAGGGATTGCAGAATGGCCATCCCCCTGGGGTGTGATTGCTTGTTTTCTGTTTGTCTCTCCACAAGCACATATGCCCTATAGCAAAAATCTCTCTTAAAAAATGCAAATAGAGGGACCAGCAGTTGGCATAATGGTTATGTCACCGGACTCCCATGGAGTCAACTGTGGTTTGAGTCTTGGACCCAGTGGCTTAAACTTACATGGGGTGCATGTATGTGCATGCCCAAGATCCCAAGAGGAGCATGGAGAAGGGATTGTGGCACGACCATCCCCCTGGGAGGTGATTTCTCACTTTCTGTATCTCTCTGGCGAGCGCACAGACCCTATAGCAAAAACTTCCCCCCCCCCAAAAAAAAGCAAACATAAAATACTATACATAATAAAATAAATACATAATACGCTACGGTTTCTCACTTAACACTACATCTGTTTCTTCTCAGGAATCTTCTGCTGGGGCGGAGGTGGTTGAGTATAGACTCTGGAGCGGACAAGCTAAACTGCAGTCAGGCTCCTTCACTCCTCTCTCTGTTCATGAGCCAGGAACTTAACCTCTGACCTCAGTTTCCTCTTCTGTAACAATAGCTCCTACTTAGACGGTAGTTACAGAAATGAATACATGTAAAGTACTTAGCAAACAGCCGGGCACATGGCTCTTATCGTTTCCATTCTCCACAGCTTCCTTGTGGGTCCCAGTCTGGCGCCAGAATGGCAGAGGCAGCGTCTCCTACACAATGACGGTGGCCAGGCCAACATGGTGATGCGGCTGAAGTCCACGGCCAGAAATAAGAACTTAAAGGCATCTCTCCTGCCTAGTAGTTTGGGCTCCCCACTTCCCTACAGCTTCCTTTAAACAGAACACTCAGGCACTGCACAAGAATCGAACCCACATCCCACTCCCTTCCATGTACATATACTCTCTGCCTTACTCTTCATCCCTACCTCTGTCCTGGGCATGGTGGCCTGCCCTCCCAACTCATGGCACCCTCCCTGCCCAGGAGCTCTAAGCAAAATTTCTGGAAGCGGTTTCACGTGGTGGTGGTGTACTCAATCTGTGCCTTCCTTCTGAAGAACCTATGCTACAAATAAAGATTCTCACGGTCACCCAGCTCAGATGCGGACTCAACCCTGACTTGAAAACCCGTATTCTCTCTTCAGCAGCAGTGGTCTGCGATCTCAAGGTACTTTTAGGAATCCACAAGGTCAAAACTATTAAGATGCTTTTATCTTCTCACTGTGCTGATGTTGGCAATGATGGTGCAAAAGCAATAAGCGTTGATTACAATTTGGCATGAATCTAGCCAGTGGCACCACTGGGCCACGCACTCCCAGAAGTATGGGGTGGAAGTGGGACTTGTTGAACTAATTACTTTCTTTTTTAAAATTTGTTTACTTATTTCTTCCATGAGGTGGAGGTAGGTATATCCAACAAAGTTCCCAAACAACCAACCCCAGCTGCAGCTGGCCGGGATCACAGGAACACACATACATGCACCCAGAGTGCTCAGAGAGATCCCAAGATGCAAACCCAGAACCCTTCCCACGTGGGCCCAGTTGTGTTACCCCCTACACCTGCACCCCACCCTACTAACTGTTCTTTTTTTTTTTGGAGAGGTTTTTGCTCTAGGGTATGTGTGCTCACCAGAAAGAGAGACAGAGAGATAGAAAGCAAAATATCACCCCCTGGTGGGGATGGTCACACCGCAATCCCTTCTCCATTCTCCTCTCGGGATCTTGGGCACGCACGCACACACACCCAGTTCATGAGATTAAGCCACCGGGTCCAGGACTCAAACCATGGTAGGCTACATGGGGTTCAGCGACATAGCCATTCCACTAACTGCTGGTCCCCTAACTGTTCTTGATGTGGTAACAATTAATGTATTAAATCTTGACTCTTAGACACACCTTCTTATATACACATGAAGTACTTCTGCTGTACACCACAGGATGGTATTTTTACTTAAAATAATCACTGACAGAAAACCTGCAGTCACTCTTGGGTACTGGCAGGCATTTTTTTTTTTTTTTTTTTAGTGGTTTTTGTCATAGGGCACTTGTGCTGGCCAGAGGTAGAGACAGAGACACCAAGTCTCAAGCCTAGACACAAATTTCACTTAGCTTTATATACACTTTATCCACATAGCCTAAAGGAAATTTTACACAATATTTTTATATTATAGCACTTTGACTGCAATGCATCACCTGAAGTCAGGTGTGGAATTTTCACTTGGGGTGTCATATTGGTGCTCAAAAAGTTTTGAATTTTGGAGCATTCTGAGGTCAACACTTCTCACTATTCTAGTCAATGTTTGCTAGTTACTTTCATTTGTTTTCCAAATCCCAAAAAGAAAGTATGCCACACAGAACCCCAGTGCCAAGCTGCCACGGTTCATGTTAATCTAATTCTTTCTAAAGCAAGATGTCTCATTACAAATAATCAATCCACATTTTGGTACATATCCAGGTTATATCAAACTAAACGGGATCTTCAATGGTCCAGTGCTTCCAAGATCTGATGGCCTCCACTGGACTAAACTACAACACCACACTCTTCAATGTCAACCTGGTTGTTACAGAAAATTGGGATTTCTTGCATTGATGTAAAACAAGATAATCGTTTGTAATACTCAACTAAACACGATGATTCATCAAGGACATTTAGTTCAGTAAGATTTTATTTAAAAATTTGCAAAGCTAAAGGAGGGATCTGATCTTTTCTTTAAAGAAAGCAATTTTCACAGTATATATTTAGCCATTTTAGCTTTGCATTCGATAATGACAGAAAAGGACGCTTCCGGTCAAGATCCTCACTCCAGCACACTTGGTCAGGTCTCGGCATCTTGTATAAGATAACACGGTCTCTGGTCTGGAGCTCACGGCAATAATCCTTGCACCAGTGGAACAGCAGTTTTCCAGGCACACACACAAGGTCTTATTTTCACTGCTCTACACAGGGCCCTGAGAATCCTTCATTTTAAATGTGGGGAAAATGTGAAAGGATTCCTTAATCAATGCCTGCAACGAACCCAACTACCTACTAACTCTTGACAATTACAAGTATAAGATACTTGAAATTTATAAGATGTTCCACATTTAATGGAACAACTCCAATATGAAAAAATTAGGCCAGTAACATGCTCCAATGTTTTAAAATGTTACTTAATAAAACTTACTGAGACAAGATACGCAGCACAGTCTTGTACTTGGTATTATGAACTCCTACTGACGATGGCTACTTGATGGTCAAAAGAATAAAAAAAAAGAGAAGAAACCATACACATTGGAATATAAATTTTGTTAACTAAAAGTCAACCTGAAAAAGGTCTATAACACCAACACTCATGTTATTTTAAATGATGAGGTAGATTTTTTTCCTATGCAGTTAAAGTGAAGATAACAAAAAATCCATACACGTTGCAAATCCTCTTTTTAAAAAAAAAAAAAATTCAGGTGATAGTCACTTTCACAAACAAGTCACATTTATAAACTCTGCAGCGGTGAGGTCAGACTCGGGGATGTTCTGTACTTGGTGGGTCACTTGGAGATTCAATAATCAGCCTTGGATCAATCAACTCTCTCCAGAAAACAGTGATCTGAGGAAAGATAGAAAATAGTATAGGTACTTCATTTTGAGGTCAGGCAGGGTTTAGAAAGTTAAAAATTTCAGTTCAAGGAACCAGCAGATGGCGTAATGGTTACATTGCTGAACTCCCACGTAGTCAACCATGTTCCGAGTCCCAGACCCAGGGACTTAAAACTCATGCCAGGCACACGTGCATGCATACCCAAAATTCCAAGAGGAGAAAGGGGGAGAATGGACTGTGGGGTAGCCATCCCCACTGGGGGGGATGATTTCTCACCTTCTGTCTCTCTGTCTGTCTTTGTCTCCCTGGCAAGCGCACATGCCCTAGAGCCAAAATCTCAAAAAAAAAATATATATATATATACACATACATACATATGTACATATGGCTTACTGCCTGGCTAAATGGATAATGAGAACCATCTAGTGTTCAAAAAAGTAATTACAGACTTTCTATTCTACTTCAGGCTTCTGTTTTCTAGGGCATAGAGAGGAAAGACTCCAAGGTTTGACTTTCCAAGGCAGTTTCCAGGAATACACTTCAACCAAACAGTAAGGCTGCACGTATTACAAATATATCAGTTTAGAGGTCTGCGTCAAATCTGCTGATGCTACATAACCCCTAAAAACTTTTTTTTTTTTTAAATGTGTTTTTTGAATAAATCCCTAGGAGTGTCATCTACTTGGCCAAAGTAAGTAGGGGTTTCTACAAGATTATCCTTCAGACAAAATGTGAGTTGAAATATTGAAGCTTACAAACTAACATCCATAACATTCTACAGATAAACATAAGAGAGAACTTTCTCTACTTTTTTATTCATTACCAGAGGATGTGTGTGCTTGCAGAATGCACAAGCCAGAGAGAGAGAAAGGGAAAGGGAAAAAAGCACCCCCAATGGGGTGCATAGTCACGGTGCATTTCTCCATTTCTCCAACCTGTTGGGCACGTACACACATGTACTCAGCATGTTTTGTTTTGTTTTTTGAAAGCTGGTAGGGCTGGGATTTAAACCATGTTCAGCCACAGGGATCTGCCTGTAAGGCTGGCCCAAGACTGTATTCTTTTTTTTTTTGGAGAGATTTTCACTATAGGTCACGTGCGCTCGCCAGACAGACAGAGAGAGACATAGAGACAGAAAGCGAGAAATCACCCCCCAGGGGGATGGTCACGCCGCAATCCCTTCTCCTCCATTCTCCTCTTGGGATCTTGGGCACGCACGCACACGCGCCTGGCGTGAGTTTTAAGCCACCAATTCCTAGACGCGAACCGCGATCGACTATGTTGGCAGTCCAGCGACATAGCCATTACGCTAACTGCTGGTTCCCAAGACTGTATTCTTAAATATGCATTCTACACATTTTAATGCTACCATAGCCTAACGAGCCAATCATCGCCAGCAGCGCTGCCAGTCTAGCTGCCTACCAAGTGCCTAACCAAGTACTTCCTAAAATGGCAGCATAAGGATTTAAACACAGCCAAAGGATAGAATCATCATTTTGTTACCCTTTAAAACCACCTATGCTCTTATACATCAGAATTCTGGTAATGTGTGGGTGTAGTCATGACTACAGGGGACATGATAGAGGTTTCTGGGGCTGTGAATGCTCTATTTCTTGATCTGGGTCCAGTTACACGGGAAAGCCCTTTTGGGAAAACTGTTCAAACTGGCACTTATCTGAACGTATGTGCCCATAAAAAGTTTGAAATATCCTACTCTTTCTATTGGTATATATATGTGTTTGTGTGTGTGTTCAGAAAGATATTTTTGCTATAGGGCGCATGCACTCCCCGGAGACACAGAGAGACAGAAAATAAGAAATCACCCCTTGAGGGGATGGCTACACTGCAACCCCTTCTCCTCCATTCTCCTCTCAGGATTTGGGCATGCATGTACACATGCCACCGGGTCTGGAACTTGAACTGTAGTTGACTACATGAGAATCCAGCAACGTAACCACTATGCCATCTGCTGTTCCCTATATAAATATCATTTTAAACAACTCTACTTAAAAGTTTTTCATTTGTCCAGAGGTTTGTCACACTAGCTCTTTTTTTTTTGGTCTGTTTTCTTTTTAGAGAGGTTTTTGCTATAGGGCATGTGCATTTGCCAGAGAGACAAAGACAGAAAGCAAGAAATCACCCTCCAGAGGAGATGGCCATGCCACAGTCCCTTCTCTTCCAGTCTCTTCTTGGGATTTTGGGCTCACACACCCATGTGCCCAGTTTGAGTTTTAAGTCACCAGGGCCGAGACTTGAACCGGGGTGGACTATGTGGGAATCCAGTGACACAACCATTACACTATCTGCTGGTCCCCACGCTCTTTGAGATTCAAGATGGTGCCTTGATTTGGCACCTGACACTGTTAGTGCTTACTCCCCAGGAAGGCCAGAATCCCCCAAAGCCTAAAGCCTTATGGACTAACTGACTGTCAATAGTGCATGCATGAGCAAGAGAGGGAAAGCAGCGTCCTCTATAGGTCCTCTTGATTGCAATCCCCTTTCCCCAGCCCTCCAGTTCCTCAGGAGTATGTCTGCCATGTTTTCAGGCCAACCTGAGACCCATGGTCAGCACGTGGCCTTCAGCCACGCAGGACACTGCATTACCACTGCACCACAATGGTTGGCCCCTGGGCGGGGCAGTTCAGAGAACTGTAGTGTCACCTTCCAGATCTCAGGTGAGCAGCCGAGGGAGAATGCATGAGAAACACAGCAAAAAGAGAAGCGTACCTACCCTCCTCTCCTGTGTCACAGCATACTCTACTACCTCAGTTCCATTTTCGTTATGATAAACCAAATCAAATTTCCCAGGCTCTTTCAAGGCTGAAATCGGAAGACAGGGAGGAAAGACAAGAAGTTACTTCTCACTAATTAAAATGCTCCTCTACAGGGAATTTGCATCATTAGGAGAATAGCCACAAATGGACATTGCTAATTATATACAGGAAAACATGGAATGCTCATAGAGACCTTAGAAAATCCTGTACCAGAGACAGGGAGATTTCATGGCCATTTATGAGGGCTGATCTTCCCTCCATCAGAAAGAAATGAGCTTGCCAAACTCACTAGTACTCTCAGAATAGAATGTGAAACCACAAAACAATCATAAAAGATGATTCATATCTTTCAACAAGGGAAGGCAATATGGAATATTGCTCTCATCAGGAATCACCTATGCTTACTTCTTGGTTACACGAGCTAATGCCATGCAAAACAATCATAATAATCAAGGGGAAGAATTATTCAACATTTGTCAAAACATTAAAAACCTCTACTGTGTTTTAAAAATAGTAAAACGAATACTTATATAGCATCCTGTGTTGCTGCTGTTGTAAGAAACGTGGGTCATCTGAACAGCACCTGCCTCCTGGGATAACTGACAACACAGACCGGGCTGCTTTCCCGCGCCTTGCAGGTCGGTCCCGTTCCTTTCAAAGTTTGCATTCGCTTTCAACCTTTTATCCTTTGAGCCTTTAAACGTCATGAAATGGCTCTGAGGGTTTCGTTATTTTTCACTTTCTGAAATCTTTGTCAAATGTCTGGCTGTTCTAACTTCTGGGCTGGGGCATTTCGTTCACCTCATCACGACCACTGTCCTCATTTATTTCATTCATACGTTCACATAGCCAGCAGTGTCAACATTCCCGTGGTTAGCTATTTCTTCTGTAACTCCACTGAATTTGATTTGGGTGGCGCGTTCGGCATTACCATTTTTAGTTTTGTTGCTGTGCTTTCATCTTTGCTGGCTAATTCCCTATTCCCATCCTCCATTAAAAAAAAAAAAGTGTCATGTGAGTTTATCATTGACAGACAAGGAGGCGGCACACCCACATACTCTGCTGTTTGTATGCGACCCAATAGGTACACAGTGACCAATTATTAACAGACTGAGAAAGTGACATGACTAGTCACTGCTAATAAAGCCCATCTGTTATTTAAGGAGTGAACTGTGGACTGAAGAGCTGGCATGACTTTATGCAACTACTCACAATTAATATACCAGATGGGTATATTAATAGGGGGACTGGGAGCTGGAGGACTGGTGTTATTTGACTAAACTTTAGCAACTGAAATTTGTGTATATTGGAACCATGCAGATTGAGAACTACCTGTATTTTTTTTCCCTAAATTTTTTAAAAGATTATTTATTTAATTTAATTCATTCATTTATTTTTAATTTGACCAGAGAGAGAGAGAGAAAGGGAAAGCAAGCCACCAGGTCCAGGATTCAAACCATGGTCAGCCATGTGGGAGTGTCCAGTGTCTTCACCACGCCACCCACTGGTCCTGAACCACCTGTATTTCTATTATAGAACAAATAAAGCTATCTCTTGATGCCTCAAAGAAAAAAACTTCTAGTTGGATGCCATCACCGTCAATCACTTGGCAAGCAGTGGTCAGGTTGTGTCCAAGAAGTCTAATGACAGGCAAAGTTTCTGTGCACATTCTTAAGAAGGGGGATTTCTACAAACAAAAACTCAACAGAAGAAAGCTAGATTAGTTACAGCTAATCTCTTACTTAATATCCTAAAGGGATTCTGTGGAAAAATCCTTTTGACTGATTCCTGTCTGCTGGAATTTTGAATCTTACTTACTATTTTATTTAAAAATAAACAGAAAATAATTTATTGCTTTAGGCTTTGCTAAAGAATAAAAGAATTGCTCTTTCTGTGCAGATAACGCACCCACAAATACGGTGAGCATCCCTAAAACTCGACGGACTTTCTGTAAGGAGTGTGGCAAGCACCAACCTCACAGAGTGACACAGTGTACAAAGGGCAAGGAGTCTCTGTGCTCAGGGGAAGGGCGTTACGACAGGAAGCAGAGTGGCTACGGTGGACAGACTAAGCCTGTTTCCTGGAAAAAGGCAGAAACTACAAAGAAGGTTGTGCTGAGGCTTGAATGTGGTGAGCCCAACTGCACATCTAAGAGGACACTGGCTACTAAGAGAAGCAAGCATTCTGAACTGGGGGGAGATGAGACGAGACAGGGTCACGTGATCCAGTTCTAAGCTTCATCTCTTGCTTTACTATGAAGACCACAAAATCTTTTTTTTTCTTTTTCTTTTAAGAAGTATTTTATTTAACTTTTATTTATTATTATCATTATTATTTTCCAGTTTGATCAGAGAGAAACAGAGAGACAGAGAGGAAGTGAGAAAGCAAGCCACCAGGTCCAAGACTTGAACCGTGGTCGGCCATGTGGGAGTCCAGTGCCTTTAACAACCAGGCCACTTACTGGCCCCAGACCACAAAATCTTGAGGTGAGAGTTCGCCTCATTTGATTATAGTTGGTCCTTTTGTGAAGGAATAAAGTAATCAATAAAATTCCTTTGTGGGGAAATCTGATTCACAGTTAAAAAAAGAAAAAAAAAAGAATAAAAGAATCTCCTTTGCTCTCTGGCCACAGATCTCTACAATGCCTCCCAAGTTAAGCTACATACTACATACTTCAGTAAAAGTCTTACTATTCCAGGTTTTCAGAACTAATAACAGGTGGGGTTAATTAGGGATAAAGCAGAGAGCCATTTAAAATAGTGTGATAGTGTGCGTATACATACTTTAGACGTTTTATTTTGGCTTAATACACACAAATATTTTTGTTTGCCAATCTAGCAAAATAGAGCCAAGCAGGTCTTAAGGGTTCACTGAATAGAGTTGTTTTTTTTTTCAATAATGTATTTTCTACAATTTGCACCATGTCCGGTTTTGAGTTTTGTTTTGTTTTGTTTGTTTTTTTAGAGAGATTTTTTTTGCTATAGGGTGCGTGCGCTCACCAGAAAGAGAGAGAGACAGAAAGCAAGAAATCATCCCCCAGGGGGGATGGCCACACCGCAGCCCCTTCTCCCCCATTCTCCTCTCGGGATCTTGGCACACACGCACGTGCCTGGCATGAGTTTAAGCCACCAGGTCTGGGACTTGAACTGCGGTTGACTACGTAGGAGTCCAGTGACATAGCCACTGCACCAACTGCTGGTCCCGGTTTTGAGTTTTTAAAAGTGGTATAAGAATGCAAAAATTTGGGGCCAGCAGGTAGCATGTTGGTTAAAGGTGCTGGTCTCCAACATAGCTGACCACGGTTCAAGTCCTGGACCTGGCGGCTTGCTTTCTCATTTTCCCTCTCTCTCTCTGTCTGATCAAATGAAAATGATAATAATAATAATAAATAAAATAATTATTTTTAAAAAGAATGCAAAAATTTGCAGGGTAATTTAAGTGCAGAGTCTTCAGATTTTTATAAACACCGTTTGAAAAGCACTTTTTTTTTTTTTTTAAGAATTATTTTATTTAGCCCTGGAGTGATTCCGTCCTGAGCGACTGTTTTCGGGAGCCATAGTAGTTTACCTCCGTCCACCTTCTCGCCCACCCAAGTGCGTGCTGCCACCCCATGGAAGATTTGATGGACGTGGACATGAGCCCCCTGAGGCCCCAGAACTATTGGCTGTGAACTAAAGGCTGACAAAGATTACCACTCTAAAGTGGATAATGACGAAAATGAACACCAGTTATCTTTAAGAACGGTCAGTTTAGGGGCTGGTGCAAAGGATGAATTGCACATTGTTGAAGCACAGGCAATGAATTATGAAGGCGGTCCAATTAAAGTAACACTGGCAACACTGACAATGTCTGTACAGCCATTGGTTTCCCTTGGGGGCTTTGAAATAACACCGTGACCTATGGTCTTAAAGTTGAAGTGTGGTTCAAGACCTGTGCATATTAGTGGACAGCACTTAGTAGCTGTGGAGGAAGATGTAGAGTTGGAAGAAAAAGAGGAAGAGGACTCTCAAGTATATCGGGAAAGCGATCTGCCTCTGGAGGTGGTAACAAGGTTCCACAGAAAAAAGTAAAACTTGCTGCTGACGAAGATGATGATGACGATGATGATGAATATGATGATGATGATGACGATGATTTTGAAGATGAAGAAACAGAAGAAAAAGTTCCAGTGAAGAAATCTATATGAGATACTCCTGGCAAAAATGCTCAAAAATCAAACCAGAATGCAAAGAGACTCAAAACCATTAACACCAAGATCAAAAGGTCAAAAATCATTTAAAAACAGGAAAAAAAAAACTCTTAAAACACCAAAAGGATCTAGTTCGGTAGAAGACATTAAAGCAAAAATGCAAGCAAGTATAGAAAAAGGTGATTCTCTCCCTAAAGTAGAAGCCAAGTTCAACAATTAAATGAAGAATTGTGTCTGATGACTGACCAGGAGGCTATTCAAGATCTCTGGCAGTGGTGGAAATCCCTTTAAGAAAATAGTTTAAATAGGTTGTTAAATTTTTCTGTCTTATTTCATTTCTTTAACAGTTGATGTCCGGCCGTCCTTTTTTATAATGCAGTGAGAACTTTCCCTA